ATTGCTACTAAAACTTCAACGCACAAATATATTCAAAATTCTAAAATTACAAAGAATAACGTTATTTTTCTCTGGAATCGGGGAAGTGAAATGACGCGGGCTGGTGAAAGCCTTCGGGAAGCCAGTCAGCCGATGTGCCTTCTTTCGATGAAAGCGAAAATAAGGATGGGGGCGTGGAATGTCCGTACAATGTACGAAGCTGGGAAGGCTGCTCAGGTAGCCGCAGAAATGAGGAGATATAAAATAGAAGTGTTGGGAATCTGCGAGAGCAGATGGAACGGATGTGGAAGGAGCCAACTATCAACTGGAGAGACAATAATCTACTCCGGTCACCCAGAGGACAATCACGAGCACACCGAGGGAGTAGCCATCATGATGTCACCAACAGCGGCTAAAGCTCTCATGCAGTGGGAACCAATCTCCTCCAGGATAATGACAGCCAGGTTCAACTCAAAAGGAAAGAAGGTTACAATCATTCAGTGCTACGCGCCTACAAACGCCTCAGAACATGAGAAGAAGGAGGATTTCTACAGTCAACTACAAACAGTAATGGACAACGTCCCAAAGAGTGATATCAAAATCCTGATGGGCGACATGAATGCGAAACTGGGAGGAGACAATACAGGAAGAGAACTCACCATGGGTCGTGAGGCCCTCGGTGAAATGAACGAAAATGGCGAACTCTTCTCAGACTTCTGCGCCTTCAATGATTTGGTGATTGGTGGCAGTGTGTTCAAACACAGGGATATACACAAGGCAACATGGATTTCACCAGATGGACACACCAAAAACCAGATAGACTTCATTTCAATCTCAAGGAAATGGAGACGGAGCCTACTGGACACAAGATCGAGGAGAGGAGCAGATGTGGGTTCAGACCACTATCTAGTACAAGGGACTTTCAAGGTGAAGCTGAAAGCCTCGAGGATACCTGGGGATAGGCCACAATGCAAGTTCAACACGCAAAAACTGAAGGAAACAATCACACAGGATATTTTCACTGCAACTGTCAGAGCAAAGCAGGAAACACTACATGGCACCACTGAGGAATCATCCGTGGAAGACCATTGGAACTCTCTGAAGGTAATTTTCAACGAAACGTGCTCAACGGTTTTAGGAAGAAAGAAGAGACAAGACAATGAATGGCTCTCAACGGACACCCGGAAGCTTATAGAGGAGAGGAGAATGGTGAAAGAGGAAATGATTCAATGCAAAGATGGAGAAAGAAGTGAAGAAGAGTGCCAGGAAGGACAAAAGACAATTCTACGACAACCTGGCTACTGAAGCTGAGAAGGCAGCAGGCAAAAGGGACCTGAGGACACTATATCAGATAACCAAGTCTCTATCCGGGAAGAGATCAACACAAGTGAAACCTATAAAGGACAGCCAAGGGAACCCAATTACCAAAGAAGAAAGACAGATTAAACAATGGGCGGACCACTTCAAACGACTCTTGAATCGACCACCACCTACAACCCGTCCATAAATACCAACAACAGCACGTACACAACTGCAAGTTGACACCAATCCTCCAACGAAAACTGAAGTTTTGAATGCAATGAAGCTTCTGGAGGCTGGAAAAGCAGCTGGACCAGATGGAATACCCCCGGAAGCACTGAAAGCGGACCCAGAAACGACGGCAGATATGCTGACTCCATTATTGCAAAAGATCTGGAAAGAGGGGAAGGTGCCTACTGACTGTAGGAAAAATTACCTCGTGAAACTACCAAAGAAGGGCGGCCTGGGACTCTGCAAGAACTGGCGAGGAATCGTGCTCCTGTCGACGCCAAGTAAAATCCTGAGTCGCATCATCCTGGAGAGAATAAAGGACGCACTGGATACAGAACTCCGACCAGAACAAGCTGGATTCAGGAAAGGCAAATCATGTTCTGACCAAATTGCAACTCTACGCATTATCATCGAACAAAGCATGGAATGGCAATCAAATCTCTACCTCAACTTCATAGACTTTGAGAAGGCCTTCGACAGCGTTGACCGCGAAGTAATTTGGAAACTACTCGAGTACTACGGCGTACCCCAAATATTCATCAACCTTATTCAACAACTGTACGACAACGGCACATGTCAAGTGATCCACAACGGAAAACTTAGCGAAGCGGTTGGAGTAAACACAGGAGTCAGACAGGGGCGCTTATTATCACCAATGATATTCCTAATTGTGGTGGACTGGATTATGCGTCAGACAGTGGGAAACGAGAAGACAGGACTATCCTGGACTGACCGACGTGAAGAACCTAGAAGACCTGGATTTCGCGCGTGGATGATTTCTGTTTGATGTCACACAAAATCGAAGACTTACAAGCGAAAACCGACAAACTGGTCGAAGAAGCAGCCAGAGAAGACAGGAATCCAGGTGAACATAGACAAGACGGAGGTTATGAAAATAACCAACCAACAACAACAACAGCAGCAACATCCAATGCCAATCACCATCAACGGGAGGGATTTGAAAGAGGTTACATCATTCACGTATCTAGGGAGCATTGTCTCAACCACAGGAGGAACGGACGAGGATGTCAAATCGAGAATCGGGAAGGCGAGAAACACATTCATCAACCTGAAACCAATCTGGAAATCTTCGTCACTCAACATCAACAACAAAATTCGGATTTTCAATACAAACGTCAAGTCAATTTTGCTTTACGGATCAGAAACTTGGCGGGTCACCAAGAATATTTTCAAAAGGTTGCAGACCTTTATCAACAACTGTCTTCGCTCCATACTGAAGATTAGATGGCCGGAAAGAATCACCAACAAGAAGCTATGGGAACAAACGAAACAGGAACCAATCGCCCAACAAATATGCAGGAGGAAGTGGAGATGGATTGGACACTCGTTGAGGAGGCCGTTGAGTGACATCGCGCGTCAAGCCCTCGAATGGAACCCGAAAGGGAAGCGGCGAGTGAGACGTCCAAGGGTGACATGGAGGAGATCGTGTGAGGAGGAGATGAAACAGTATGGAATAACATGGACGCAAGTGAAAAGTACAGCAGAAGACAGAAGCAAGTGGAGACGTGCAGTTGAAGCCCTATGTTCCACTAGGAACCCAAGGGAACAATAATAATATAATATACACTAGCAACATGTCGTTTAATATTAGTTGAAGAAAATGCACGTCCCTTTTCCTCAAACAGCATGTCACCAACCCGAGCTGCTATTGCTGATACTTGTGACCGGATTGAATTAGCGCCTACTGAACTTCTGTCAAGATACCTCACTGCTGAGAGAAGCCTCCAATCTGTCAATCACAAGATATCCTCACACTTGAATGACACTTTAAAAAGATTATTTTCTGTTAATTAACAGTCTCCATAATGGAAACTTCCTTTCCTAGGAGTAGTCTCTCATTGTCGTGAAATAATGAATGTTTGAGAATATCCATTAGCCAAGAAAATTGAATGTATGCACCCTAGTTCATCAATTAATTTATCACTCGTGAAAATTTCACAGGCCTTTGAATATCAACACTTCACTGAGGAACGCATATAACCGATAAGAATACCGAAATCTGTGCATATTGAACTGTTCTGTACCCTTCCGTCTCAGTCTATTCCCCATCATTCCTTCTGTTATCTTGCTGATAAAGCCATACCAACAAGGTTATTTCCAGTTTCTTCTGAGCCTCCCTTTTCTGTAGTCTTTCACAACAGTTTATCTCAATGGACAGCCCTACATATTTTAGTGCCTATCAACAGATACTGTACCTATTAAAGTAGAACTGGTGAATATAACAAATACTACACAGTAATTCTCATACTGTTAGGAGCTCAACAGTTATTTCCAACGCTGGTTATCGTCTTCCAAGTTGAATTACTCAAGAGCTTTACTGCTTGCGTCGAGTGAAAAATCAGGAAGATCTTCGTTGTAAAAGCTGGAATACGCTAACTTTATTAAGTAGGTGTTCTAAACTAAGGACTATAGTATAGACAGTAGGTTGTACAATAATACTTTCTTATCTCAAAATCAAATCAATTCTGAAATTAATAACAGGATAAGGTTTTTCCGTCTACAAAATAAAAAGATTTCTTCTATGAAGTGGTATAGCCACCACTTACTTAAACAGAATGCTTTCTACACAAAGTTTAGAAGCGAATGCATATGAAAGTAGACTTGACTGATGTTAACCCCATGTAAGAATCCGTCAATGAGTACTGATGCATGTACACAATGACATCCCGTAAGCGAAGTAAACCTCTGAGTGTCTAAATATAGGTACCAATCTTTACAAAACCCTGTGCTATATAAATTTTAGTTACCAAGTGTTATTATGCAGGGATTTGATTGACAACAGGTTTGGTCAAGAGCTAGTATCAGTCAGAGAACCACTGCTTCGTCCTAGTTTGGGACTATTCAGCAGAAAACACCAATGACTGGACCAGGAGTCGAACAGATGTCAGCCCACGATAAAACTATGTAGTAACCAACCAAATTCTTGCAAACCGACACTTGACAATAAACTGTTCTCACCAGAAACTGACTCCACAGCGAGAAGTTGTAGCCAGCGGGGTGCACCAAGCCAGGTAGGAGAACGTTTCACTCACCTATGATATTAGCTGGAGGATACGCGACATATATCGCAAATTGGTAGAAGTTGGAATTCGTAAGTCACTGAGTCGCGTCTCAATAGCTGGATAGTCTACAAGCTCGTCTTCTGACGTGAAGGTTCTCGGTGTAGATTCGTACTGTCGAAGAGTCCCAAACCACTACAGAACAACTGTCTAGTACTTACTGGTTCCCCAATGGTTATCTGATCGACGTCAGCTCACGATCAAACCTGTAAATTTCAATGACAAACAGAATGGCCACTACAGCCACTACACATGAAAAATTTTTTTCGATTTAAAGCAGTTTTATTTGGATAGAATTGGATACAGGGGATGCCTAACTGTATCATGAAGATACCAAATATTCACTTTATGCGTCAAAATGCTTACATGCATATTGATTTAACACAATTAGTGAAGTATTTCAATGAAAAAGATCTAAACAGATAAATGTATTTCATTTTTATCGGCAAAAGAAATCTGATGATGAGAACAAAATCAGTGTATAAAAGAGCAAATTAACTCGTTTTATAACGAAGGTTTAACAAATGAAAAATATAGCACAGTAATTCAAACTAAATAAATAGCTCTACATGTTAAAGATTATGAATGTTAAAAATTACGAGGAACACGAGACACGCAGTCTACGAGACCAATCAGGAGGACGAATTCTGTTGCTTTTGCCAGTCGTCGTAGAACCCTGACCAAGCTACAAAGAAGAAAAAAGATTTTAAAACAAAACATAGATGAATCAAATCCCCAACTGGCAATATACACAAAATAATCGAGCAAAGAATATCCTTTTCGATAATTCTATCTTCTGGCTCTACAATTACATATATGTGTGTTTATATGCACAGAATATTCTCGAATAGTAGTACTTTTTAAATAATATCGATTTGTTAAGTGAGTTCACAATGGAATTACAGTTCATTACAGATGCTTAAATTATAATAAGCATAGAAATGTAATAGTAAATAGAACATCAAATAAAATTAGGGAAATTCCACAAAAATTGAGGATCATTCGAACCTAGATGGCCAAGCGGTAAGGATAATGTCTGAACTAGCTTCTTTTGGACGCATAAATTAGGCTTGTTAATATGGATCCCAACAGCCTCAGCAATATTTAGTAATCGAACTCTTATGGCGAAGTTGAGATTTGTTGGTATGCGGTAAATGACTCTGAAAGAGGCCTCGTTAACATCAATCTTGTGTTCTGTATCCACAAGATGAGATAGAATAGCGCTACGAATAGATTTTGTTTGTCCTTTACTTAACCACTATGCCGGGTGATGTTTGGAAATCCGACGAGAAACACGCCTAATTTTACGGCCTATGTAACTGGCTCCACAGGAGCAGTTAAATTGGTAGATACACATGGAAGAGGCGAAATTAGGCAGTATATCTCTTACTCCCGAACGCAAAAGAGGAGTGGTTTCGAAGACCAGAGTAATTCAGCAGCAGGGAATGCTCTTTTTACCACATTTCTAAGTCGTTGTGTTAGTATCTCGCTGATGTTGTCCCCGAGGAACTGAATTTGTAAGAATAAAGCCTTTTTAGGAACTGTTGGTACCTTGAGCTGCTTTGATTTCAGATTCAGATTCTTATCAATAAACTTTTCTGGATAACCGTTTTCACTCAGTAACCGTTTAATATTATTAAGTTCCTCATCAAGACATTCATCCGAGCAGATACACAAATTCGAGGAGGTGGAATTTCACCATCATTTTTTCCCTTTGAAAACCAAAATTATTCAGATCACAATGTGTGACCTGCTTGATATCATCAATATCAATCACGTCACATACTACTGATTGATTGATTGAGATGAGTAGTTGCACACCAGTCACACCAACCAGTATAGGTGTTTGATAGCCAGTCAGACAGAAATGATCTAAACACAGTAGGGCTGTTTTGTTCGTTTAGAGCCGAGCTCATCAGTCAGCGGTGTACGCAGGGTTTGACTCAGCTGCTCAGTGAGCCAAATCAGTTCAACCCATACGATTTCTGGCTATATGAATAATACAAAGCATTTAACAAGACGTGCAACCTACTGAGAATGAAACACCTGCTACTTTCAATGTCCAAGATGAAAATCAAAAACTTGACTACTATATTACACCACATTGTTCATAGAAATTCTTGTCAATCTAAAAGATTTTCTAGAGTTGGTTTGTAAGGATTAGATTCGTTTTTACAAGTTCGACCACAGATTGACATAAATTAAAGAACCATTGAAAACCAGGGAGTACTGGACAGCTGTTTCATCCTAGTTTGGTAGAAGTTAGAATTCATCGGCTGGCCATTGAATCGGGTCCCAATGGCTGATTGGTAAACGAGTTAGCTTGCCTTGTTGCCAGAAGGTCCTGGGTTCAAACCCCTGTGGTGGGTGCGTACTGTCGATGGTTCCCAAACTAGGATGAAACAGCTATTCAGTACTCCCTGGTTTTCAATGGTTCTCTAACTGATATCAATCCATGGTCAAACTCGTAAAAACAAATCTAGAAGATGTCTACCGCTATTATTATTATTATTACCTTATTCTTTTACATTCTCAGTGGCTTCGGGCCAGAGCTTTGAAGTTTCGATTGCAGTGGTGCTTATTTTTACGGGATGCAGTTGCTAGCCTCATGACCAACCTTCCTTCTTTACCAGTCTTATTACCAGCTTAGTGAGTTAAAGGAGTGCATCGGCCGTGTATTGAAGTCAGAACCACATGCGTAGGTGGTGAGCATTCTACCACTGTGCCACCGACGCGCGAAAGATGTTTGACTTGTACACATCTTAATAAAAGTACATATATCACGAGGTACCACTGTGGTAAGAGACGTCTGCTAGCCAATAGTGGTAGACAGCAATTTACGTCAGTGTTTACGTCCCATATCTTGGTCATGAGAAAAAAAACAAGAACAAAGACTAACTCAACAACCAATCACAGCAGACTTTGCGTGGGCGGATACGATTCGCAGATATATGGTCTGACCTTCAAAGAAACGGCCACAAAGAGATGACAGAATAACTTTCAGCGAGAAAACAGCCAATTAGAAGATGCTGTTTCTCTCCTAATAACAACGAATAATAATGTACATAAAAATATGTAAATATCTGTTGGTTTTTTCAATAAACGATTTGTTGCGTGGCCCTTGTCTTCTGCCGCATTTATAAATACTCTTTTTTCACGCAAGAGGGTAGTAACAAAAGTGGTAGGTTGTCATAATCTACATATAATGAAGGATTGGATAAGGATACTAGAGTAAGATAAGATGAATATTTTCATGAGTGAGTTTTATTCAAGAAGTACATAGAAACGGAGGAAAATGAGGCATTACATAAGAGTCCGAAAGAACGCTATCTTGCATGGTTGCAGAAAGGCAGCAGTGGCTATAAAGGAATGCAGTAATCAAACTCCTTGTCAACACTGGCCATTCTATCTCAACCAACACTTCCATCAACGTAATCTACAGGACAACCTGTCAAAGACAAAATGATTCTATCTCTCATTTGCACGGTATAAGCTCTGGCCATCGAGGTAGAGAAACCTAAGCTCTGAATACAAAAGAAAATTATTCAACCGCTCCTACTATTATGGTAACAACCTCGTTGTTTTTTTTAACTCTTTATAACCCTTGCACTTTTTTCGAACTGTTACGTAATGTCACACACACACACCCTTCGTTTCAATGTGTATGATGATTATAACTCATTTATTGAATAATCTGTCTCGTTATTTAAGTATAATAACCTTATTCAACTCCTGATTAATATTAGCAGCTATGAGTACTATCCTCTTTTGTAAAAAAAAACTGCATATAAATGAGACTGTACAGCTACAGAAAATGAATTCACCGCAAAAAAAGATCCTGGAATGGAGATCATTATTCATGAATCTACGCAAAGTTAACAATTATATAAGGTGGCTTTTTGAATAACTGATCCATCAGGCCATCTAAACACTCAGTAGAATTTAAAATGGCCTTTATGGGTAGCAATTAACGTGATTTTTAATCGGCAACACGATATATACTACTGATAAACATGAGGAAAACTATTGTATACTAAATTGAGCCGTTTTCCTTGATTTCTTGATACCATTTACAATATCAATCAGGTAGAGTATTACGGTGTGTGTGTGATTTGAACTCCCTGATGAAATATCGCCAAGAAGTGTATAATTGACTCATTGAATTTGATGAGTCACTTTCACATATTTAAAAATGTCCCTCATAACTGTGACTAATGATATTTTACAATAGAATTTTCCGTGATAGATATCTTAAGGGCTTGTCAATTGTCTAGTACTTGTCTAACATTGATAATTGAAAGAGATTATGAGATGTAAAAGACGATAGGATCTGTTTGACACAACAAATGGAAACCAGGGAGTGCTGGATAGATGTTTGGTCCTAGTTAAGCACTACTTGGCAGGTTCTCTCACTGACATCAATTCATGATTAAACTGATTTGATGTTCACTAGTGACTTCTTACAGTACGGAGTGGCTTGGAATTCTAAGGAGAAGTCTTGACCGATAGTAGGGTTCACCAGGTCGGGTGAGAGGGTAAATACTTGCCCACGACAGTGGGTGTTAGTCACGCTAAAATCAAGAATTAGCAGGAGTTGAAATCCATAGGCCATTGGTTGAGGTCCCAGTGGCTGAATGGTCAATGAGCTCCCCTTGTTCCCGGAACCCCCGGGTACTGATGAAGAGTCCCAGACTGGGACAAAACAGCTGTCCAGTACTCCCTACCGGCTTTTAATGGTTCTCTAAATGAAATCAATCCGTAACCAAACTTGAAACAAATTAAATCCCTACAAATTAACTCTTGAAAATCAAAAACCAACCAAAACGGCATGATTGTGTCTGCTATTGATTAGTGTAAATTCGAAACCAGCAATGCCTAACGGGCAGAGGTTGACTGGAACTAAACATGGGGGACAGCTATTTCCACTTGTCTGACCACAAACTTATCAAAGATGTACTTGGATAGGCTCAGCTTGAAGAGTCGAATCAGTCCCCATCCTTCGAATTATGCTGTTTCAGTAAACTGGCAGTAGTTATTCATAATAAATTACGCAATATTTAGATCACACACACAATCTGTGGTTTGTTCGCTACTATAAATTGCAGTCAAGGGAACATGAAGACTATTAAATTATGTGAAAACACTAATATTTTTTTCAGTATGTTTTTTAATGTTCGAAGTGGAACAGGGGACTTAAGGTATAAGTATAAAACTTGGGCACTGTGGTAGAACTTGATATGATTATGAGTAGCAATAGCTTGTGCTCGAAATGTGGTCATCAGTTAATATTACTGTATAACACCATTGTGTGATTTATCAAAATAACTTATCATAATGGAGGGGACTTAAGGCTTTTGAAGTTTCAGAAGCGGTAGTGTCCTTTTTTGCGAGGTGGCATTGCTAACGTCACACCCAACTCTCCCTCTTCTCTGGGCTAGTACACTAAGCGACATTTAGGAGTGCTCAATCCGAGAATCAAACCCAGACCTTCAGGAGTGGTTAGCGAGTATACACTCCCATTGAACCAGCGACACGGAATACACAACAACGAAGATGAATTATTAATAATATTATTGATGTCTCCTTTAGCTCCTAGAGGAACATAGGGCTTCAGCCACACGTTTGTATTACGTTGGTTTCTCCGCCAACGTTTTCACCTGCCTCAACGTCTGCCCATATGCTTTCATCTCCTCTTCACATGACCTCCTTCATGTCACCCTTGGACGACCAACTCACCGCTTCTCATTCGGGTTTCATTCGACAGCCTGGCGTGTGATATCACTTGGTGGTTTTCTCAGATTATGGCCAATCCACCTCCATTTCTTCCTGTACATTTGTCGCACGATTGGAAGATGAATAAATGCTATTCAATTCAGTTTAGACATTCCCGTTGATTGAAAGTCCACACTGAATTAAGCAATAATTGAAACTCATTGCACAAGAGGTAGTCTCCTCCGGGTCCAAATGGTGTAGTGGATAACACTTTGGTGTTTGAAACGATGGGCCCAGAATTCGAGCCTCAGTAGGAACGCAATCACCTCCTCACTGGGGAATACAGGTACATCCACTGGCTGATGAGTCCCAAAATAGGACGAGATGTGCATCCTGGACTGCACTACTGCTAGTCACACCATCCAGCAAATTACTTCAAAATAAATAAATATAGCCTGGTTGTATTGTTTTTGCTGAAGGTGAAGAACTGGACAATTCATTTAACACCTGGAGCCTGCCTAGAAAGCCAACACAAACAACAACAAAAACTACTACTATGGCTACAAAAATATTACTGGGCCTCTGTTAACTTCTTTTAAAAAGTTCACTTACTGTCCCATCCGATGGAAAATTAAAATCTTCATAAGGTGTAGTTAATGCATTGAATAACTTTTCAGCCACAGTGTAATCTCCTTTCTCAGCTGATTTGATTGCTTCTTCGGCAAGATGATTACGTAAAACAATTCGAGGATTTGCAGATTTCATTACACGTAAACGTTCTGAAATTTCTATCTTGTTATTATTATTATTACTGTCCATCTGATGATCAATTTTCAAACGTTTTGCATACTCCTGCAGCCAATTATTCCATATACGTGCATTTCTTTCTTGATGCTCAGCCTCAGTAAGATGCTTAAAAATGTTTGTATTATAGAAAGAAAAAAAAAACAACAAAACATTATTCATTAAAGTATAAATTATACAGGTCTGATAGGAAATATTCCCAAGGGCAACTGTATACATGAACTTGTAATTATATCATTATTAGAAAAGATACCATACGAGTTGTCATTAACAATCACCACCCCTGTGAGCATCCCCATAAGGTAATCCCACATGCTCGATGGTTGAAGGCGGTCTGTAAGAAAACATGCACCTATATTTTGTGCTTCTTGTGCAATTGTCATAATGTTGAATGTTTTTTTGCACAGTAATAAAGAAGTGATAGTTTGCGTCTCATTTGCGTCTCAATCTAATTGAGATATAATTCTCAGTTGTACACTGATAAGAGGGTGGATGAAGTGTACATTAAACTATGAAAATTCAAGTTAAAGTTTAAAGAAATAAATACTATTGTGTGTGATTGGTTATATTGTGGTGACAGCTGTCTGCCAGCCAAAAGTGGTAGACAACAATTTACGTCAATGTTTACGTCCCATATCTTGGTCGTGAGAAAAAAGCACAAATAAAGACTAACTCAACAACCAATCACAGCAGACTTTGCGTGGGCGGATACGATTCGCAGATATATGGTCTGACCTTCAAAGAAATGGCCACAAAGAGATGACAGAATAACTTTCAGCGAGAAAACAACCAATCAGAAGACGCTGTTTCTCTGCTAATAACAACGAATAATAATGTACATAAAAATATATAAATATCTGTTAAACGATATGTTGCATGGTGAGGTTTGAGGATGAATAAAGTCAATCTTTGTGTTGATCTACGCAATCACTATAATCTCTTTAATAAAGAAGATGCGAGACAGTAGTATTTTGTGGATAAAAAAATTTACATACACTATCAACATATATATACAATTCACTTTTCATGCTCTTTAGGGATCCAAATTTTAAAAGCATTTCTATCAATAATTCTGCATTTCCTTGTGATCCGAGTGAAACATAAGGCTTCATCGAGCTTGTGCTATAAAACCTAAGTAGGGGTTGTGTTTTTGTATCGGATGGGGGTGCTAGCCTCATATGCCCAACCACCTCTTTTTTACCAGGCTTGCTATCAGATATAGGTAGGATTTAGGATTGCATAGGCCGTGAAGCGAGACCCGACCATGTTTGAGTGGTTGATGAGCATTCACATTCTACGGCTGGACTACCGATGCACTCTGTCAATAATAACTGAGTCAAAAATCTGGATGATTCATACATATGACAAGCGCTTTATAACTGGAACGAATTACAGAGAATCCACTCACAATCTAATTAACAACGTTTCCAACCAGATGAAATTGACAAGACAGGAGGAATTAAACAATAAAAATTCCATTTGTTGATGTCTTCGTCAGAAGAACAAGCACAAGTATACGGAAAATCGATCCAAAAAGAGATCAAATACTACTCATTTACAGCAGATTTCTTAAGTGGATGATAAGTGACACTTATCAAACCAGCTTGACATTACCTCTTTATTTATTCATCAGTCGGTTGAAATTCTACCTTAACATTAACGAGATGATAGATAACGCTTTACAACATAGTACAATGGCCAAAAAGCAGTTGGAAGACAGGTGTATACTTTTCTCACATATCGTAGAGGTGTTCATTTGACTATAATAGGTTAGCATCTTACCATCTTACAGAAGCATAAATGGGAGACAGTGGGGTGCAGATTAGCATCTTCTCGAAGGAAACACACATTTTTTTTAAGATAATAAGATTGAAGGTGGACACTTTTGACTTACTTCTATTTCTTTGTAAAGTTTCTCTCTAGCTTCACTTTTTAACATTTTAGTTGCTTCAAATTTATCAGGCATACTTCGAGGCATACTATCCAATCTTGCCATCAGTTGACGGTATCTAAATTAACGATAAGTAAAAAGGTGTATTATAAAGATGATGAGTGGAATAACACATTGCATTGTGATTTCAAGAAATGTAAAACCAGTCACACTAGTGAGCATCAGATCAATAATCAAGTGTTGGTTTGCAGGGAATTGATTGGTTGAAGGAAGTTACCTGGAGTTCTATAGGAGAAGTTGTAACTCCAGTGGAGTCCATCAAGTCGCCTATGACATTGGCTGGCAGTTGCATTATAATACACATCGTGAATTGGCAGGAGTTGGAACTTATAGGTCATTAGATCAGACATCCCAGCGACTTCACAGTCCATTAGCTCGCAGATCCGAATCCCTGTGGGCGCGTACTAATGAAGAGTCCGGGACTGAGACGAAACAACCGTCCAGTACTCCCTGTGCTTCCAGTGGCTCTCTAACTGATGTCAGCTCGTGATTAAACCTGTAACCAATTAACACTTGTGAATAATATAAAACTGTAGTCACCAATGTTTTTCTAGAAGAATCCATTAGGAGGTTAGTTTTTCATTGTGTAAGCGTAAAATGTTTCACACAATCACTGATCACTTGTAATTATCAGGACTATGTGTTTATTACTTCATATGAACTGTGATCAAGATTTGACCGAATACTGTTTATCAGCTAATGGAACATAAAGCCCGTCACACATGATGTGACTTTTAGTCGGTATAATGAAACTTACCAACGGCTACAACAAGCCACTGTGGAGTTAGTTAGGATATTAAAATTTTCACAATCAAACATTTTTGAATCTTTTCTCCTCAAAGTTAAGAGATGGATGTTAATGATTGACAATTTCAATGACTACACTGTTTATATATATATATATATATATATATATAAACTGTAGCCATCCACTGGTGCACCTTAGTGTCAAGGAAATGTTACCTCGATTGTCTAATCCCGTGTGTATATATATGTTCACCTACTCTTGCAGAGCTGGGTACATAGGATGTTCATCGAGAAACATATCACACCGCCACAGTTTAGAGCACCTCCGAGTTTGGTTGAGCAAAGGAGAAGGTAGAGGTATTAATTCATCGATATTGCAACATATCTTGTGGATAATGACCTTACAGCATCTGACACATCGTTCAATATAGTCTACAAAGTCCGACAAAGCTTGCCGAAAGGGACACGAGTGCATTTGTTTTGTATAAAAGAGGCTTTGGGAATACATAACATAAAGTCAGAACTTGGTGCACAAAAAGAATATGTACGATCTCTTTCGTTACCCCATGTAATCAACATAAAAACTTCGTTATCCTTTTTTATTCCACATGTTCCATTTTTGTTTTATTCTGTTTTATTTCACTGAATGTTATCTTATTATAACATTTTATCTAGTCTACTATTTTGACAACATTTCACTCATCTTATGTCGTCTCCATCATATTATATTCACATATTCACATTTCCGAATGTACTTTATTTTCCGATCATCTATTTCACACATGTCATCCATTGAGCTTTAGGTTGACCTCTATTTATTTAGTTATTCATTCATATAACTAATCAATTGTGACTCATAATCGTGTATACCAAAATTGTTGCACTTTAGTATTTCCACTAACTGTCAAACTTTAACACACACATACAAGCAAACTAATTGTAACTGTCTATTGACAGTGTTTATCACGGATTGATATCAGTTAGAGAACCATTGAAAACCAGGGAGTACTGGACAGCTGTTTCATCCTAGTTTGGGAATCATCGACAGTACGCACCCACCACAAGGGCTCAAACCCAGGACCTTCTAGCAACAAGGCAAGCTAACTCGTATACCATTCAGCCGCTGGGAGAGACCCGATTCAATGGCCACTCTATGAATTCTAACTTCTACCAATTCGTGATATAACGCGACCCCAACCACTGTCATCTGTAGGACATCCATCCTCACATTTGATTGGATGGAGCTCACTGGTTACGACTTATCACTAGAACTCCAGGAAACTCAGTCATGTAGCAAGTCACTAGCGAGCATCAGTTTAATTTTCAATAGTTGGTTTGTAAGGATTAGATTTGTTTTGACGAGTTGATCATGGATTAATATTGGTTGACGTTGGTTGGTGGTCGCGCTAAATCACGAATTAGTAGAAGTTAGAATTCATGGGCTGGCAATTGAATCGGGTCTCTCCCAGCGGCTGAATGGTATACGAGCTTGCCTTGTAACTGGAAGGTCCTGGGTTCGAACTCCCTGTGGTGGGCGCGTACTGTTGATGGTTCCCAAACTAGGATGAAACAGCTGTTCAGTACTCCCTGGTTTTCAATTTTTCTCTAACTGATATCAATCCGTGGTCAAACTCGTAAAAACAAATCTAATCCTTACAAACCAACTATTGAATATATATGTGCGATTGTACAGCTATGAAAATGAAATCGTCGAAAAGAGGATTTCCTTCTCTGAATTCTTTGTTTTTATGTCTCAAGAGGAATTACTAATCTGATCAAATGATATAGTAAAATAGTATTCACATAGTTACTGATACAGTAAAGAGGGTGAGCTTACATTCTTCGTGCAATAAACATTTAGATAGCAGTCATTTTCTCTAGTTATAATGTAATCAATGGCCTCATGCCTAAGAATTGATTGATATTCCAGTTTAAAAACATCTTGCTTTGTACTTCTGAATACAAATTCCTGACTTCTATTCGTTCCATGTGGTTGTTTTTTTTTACTGGTATTTAGACGGAGATTACAATTATACGTAAGTATTATACAGCGGCATAATTGGCTTGGTAGGCATACACACAAGGAGAACATTTTTCTGAGCCACTGCTCTTTTGATGTTTGAAAGCGTTATCGGTGGTAAATTCAAGTCATACTGAACTACAAGTAGAATGAAGTGTACATCAGCCCAACTACGACGACTCACCTACTTCGACGAAAGGAACTACACTCACAGTATCAACACAAGGCATATTTTCACATACCTTTAATTTATTTGTCTATGTGAATAAAAGGACTGTTGAGGAGAAAACACCTCCGATGGCTTTCGGTATTTAACAATGGTCTGTATGAAATGAAACCCATCACTAAACAATTACATGTACATCCAGATGACGAGTCCCAAATAGGACGAAATGCGCATCCTGGATTCCACTACCCACCAATTAAATTCTAATTACATGTATGTTGTTGCAGAATTAGAGATGAGCCATGCTTAATATGTGAGTCGTGATTTTACCCACTAACAGGCCGGTTAAATCTCAGCAGATGGTGAGGAAAGACAGTATAAACCGATAAATCCTGGAGACACCACGCTATACACACCAAAACATACTCTGATTGGATAGTAGGCAGTAATTTTAATGCCAAGCGTCTAGTCCTTCCTTTGGAATTGACTGAATTTCATCAGTCAAGTTTCCAATGTAGCCACCGTGCTAAGTGACCTGACATCATAGTGCATTCTGGATTGTTGTTAAACAGTTGGGGACAATCGATGGGAAACCTTGAACCTGAAATGGCAGTCACATTGCAAACCTGACTGGTAGAATTTGGTCTGAACCAACACCAAGGACTACACTACTCATGGCATTAGTTACAGCATAGTATCCAGTCACAATATCCATTACAGTCCTACAGGAGGTCAGTTGCAAGCCTGAATAACTCAGTGTTAAAGTCACTGAATGTGGCAGTGAGTGACCCGAGTTCAAATCCCAGATAGGGCATGAGTACCTTGGAGACTGAGGACACGTCTAACTGACTGAAAACATGAAAAGGTTGACTGTTTTTGATCATAGATGTCTATGATCTCTTTCTCACGTTAGGTGGTGGCACAGTGGTTAGGACTCTCACCGACCATGCACACGGTTCGGCGTTCGATCCCCTGCCGACGCACACCTGACATCAATGGTCGGCCTGTAAAATTTGGGCTACCGATATTACATGCTGAAAATTCCACACCGGTACCAAATAATACGGTGTGGAATCAAGCTGTAATCAAAAAAAAGTAATGTTGACGTAGAGTGTTGGGCAAAGAGGGAAAATCAATCAACGAGGCTATAAAGTTACATACTCTGAGATGGCTAGGTCACGTGGTGCGTATGTCTAACCATCGCCTCCCCCGGCGGGCATTACTAGCTGATATAGGTACAGGTTGGAAGATGCAGACTTCCGGGTTGGGGCCCTCGGGACTCTAAGAATCAATGGCTGGAGACAATAGGTGACATGGCTCAAAATCGTTGTCAATGGCGCAGATGTATTCAGTCTCTGTAATCTTTCATATTCCTTTCTACCATTACTCATTCTGTTTCACTCTTATACTTGTCAAAACTCTATTGATTCTCTTCACTCATCTTCTTGTCTACCTTTGTGTGCTATTTGGAACGTGGCAACTCGAACTGCTGCACTTCGGTGCCGAGTTCTATGTTGAATCCAGACAGACAGACGAGTTCCAACAGGCATTAAACCTACGTCCAAGGCTTCCTCACAACCATTTTTAACCATCCAAAAACATTAAAACATCTCCTACCTTAGTGCTCAATATTAACTGACATCACATTAAGTTAGTGAAGGCCAGAGGTGTCCAGACAACAAACAAAATGATACTTAATCCAAGACATATTTGACTGTTAATCACCTGTATTGTACTAACGAAATAAATGAGATAATCGATTAAGGTGATGATAACATTAGGAATATCATCTCTCAGTAGTACAAATGTACTTTTAATTTTTACTCTTTTTCCCTCACTATTATTTCCCTTCTAACTTGTCAACTTTCAGACTTCGTCGTATGAATCTGAATTACAAAAAAACTACACATGAAGAGCCACCGAATCAAAATTAATGGTGAGAATTACGAGCGTCGTGCTAATCCATGAAGTCATCGGGATGATAAGAATCAATGCTTGGAGACTGTTCATGACTTGCCGTGAAATCATTCGCGATGACATAGATACATTCACACGTAATAATTTTCCAAATAGTGAAAACCTTAATTACTTTTTCTTTATTTCTGGCATACATTTCTAACAGGTTGTAGACTTTTATCAACAGGTGCCTTTGCTGGCTCCATACAGAAGATCAGAAGACTCGGTCAGAAACGATTAGCGATGAGGAACTCTGCTAGTAACCCAACCAAGAACCTATCACCGAACAAATATGCAGGAAAAAGTAGAGACGGATAGGACACACAGTGAGGAGACCGTAGAATGAGATCCCGTGCCACTCACACCTTGGAGTGGCACCCGTAAGGGAAGCGGCGAGTTAGGGAGTGCGATGGTGACATGGAGATCGTGTGGGGCGGAGATAAGACCTTATGGACAATCATAGAGTAAGCTAAAAAGGATTGGAGAGAGCGGGAAGAAATGGAGATGTTCCGCATGTTCTGCTCGGAACCCAAGGGAATAATAATTATTATTATTATTGCATTTGTTGACTTTACTTTCATGTGTGCCTTTCAGAAGTGTGACAACCTGAACTGTTGTACTTTGTGCAAAGTTCTTAGTTGTCTGTTTGTCTGTTTTCGACATAGAACTTTGCACCGATGTGCAGCAGTTCAATTCGACACACTCCCTCCATGTACCACACAAAGCAAGAGAAGAAAGTAGAAGAAATGCAAAATACAGACAGTAGACAGGGATATGAGGCAAAAGGAATAATAATAACGAAGAACAATTTAGTTTCATTGGAAATTATCAGTCACAAGGAGTGGATGCATCAGAACCAGCCATTGAGAACGATCACTTTGAGCCAGCCATATCACCGATTGTCTCCAGCCTTCACTGGTTTTTACCGTCCCGAGGACCCCAACCAGTCAGGAAGTCTACATCTTCCTACGTGGTTTAAACTAACTGTTGTGGATTTCACTGACTGATGAAGCCATATTTTGGTTTCATCACCACTGGCTCTTTTCCAACCTTACAGGTCCTATGTCAGCTAACATTGCCTGTAGTCGAGGAAGGCGATAACTAGGTATATGTAACATATGTCCTAACCACCTCTGTCGATGTAGCTTCACAACCTCGTCGATTGATTCCCCCTCCCACCTACCTAGCACTCGACCGATGCCTAACCTCAATGTATTGCTCACCCTTTTATACCACTCCAGTCGGGAGATAGAACGCAGGTATCTATGATCGAAGACAGCTAGCCAGCCAGCCTTTTCATGTCTTCCACTCTCAATGGCCAGGTCTCGCTCATAGCCATAAAGGAAGACGAAGCGGACTGCCGCTGAGCAGTATACCCGCCCTTTGGTCGATAGCCGGAAGTTCTTAGTTGACAAGTAAGTCAGTCAGTCAGCCATGTAATACTCTACTGGATAATTAGTCTAAATGATCGATAAAATATAAAAAAAGGTGAAGTAATACTTAAAATCTATCAAGGTAAAAAAAACTTACAATTCCGTATCCTTTGGTTCAAAAGTCTCCTGTAATTGACACAATGAACAGCATTCTTGTATTAGATGATTTGTTTCTAAAGGACACTCATTGCTGTCTACAGTGTTATTGAACAATGCATCACCATATTTATTAAATGCTTGTGATAAGGTATCTTCAAGAGCTAGAAATGTATTTGTAAAATCAGCTCCTGTTTTCTCCATTGTATTCAGTAAATTATGAACAAGATCTGCATCGATTTGATCCACTTGATGAAGTAAACCAAGCTATATAAATAAATAAATAAGTAAATAAGTAAAGATCAATAATTTTCATATAATATTTTGATAATATTAACACTCAAGATAATAATTTAACTGCATAACAGTTCTAGGTAGGGAAGGAGAGCTAGTGGATATTTAGCCTCCACAAGTCACATGCCGTTTAAGGGATGAGAGGTGGGTGTCTCAGAAGTCTAAACTGAAGTATATGGTTGTTATTATTACGTCATAATTATTATTGCCTTGGGTTCTAGGTGAAACCTAAGGCACTAATAGGAAATCTTCATTTTGTCGTATTCTATATAGTTCTCTTCAATTGGCTACACGACTTCCCATAAGCTCTCATCTCCTCCTCACATGTCACCCTCTGACTAACATCCGACTCTTCCTTTCCTATTTGAGTTCCAGTTGAGCGATAGTCTTGCTTGCTATGTCACCCGACGGTATCATCAGTGTGTGTTCGATCCACCTCCATCTTCTTCGGAATATTTGTTGAGCGATAGGTCATTCTATGATGTGTCCCTAGAATTTCTAGTTGCTAATTCTTTCCAGCCAGTCATTTGATCTTCATTATGGCTGTGAGACCTAGCCATTGAGAGTGGAAGACATGAAAAAGCAGGCTAGCTGTATTTGAGCATAGGTGCCTGCGTTTTATCTTACGTGTGAAGTGGTATAATAGGGTGAGCAATATTGAGGTTGGGCATCGTTCGAGTGCTAGGTAGGTGGGAGAGGAAATCAATCGACGAAGCTGTGAAGCTACATCGACTGAGATGGTTAGGACATGTGTTACGCATGCCTAGTGTAGCTATCGCTTCCTCGACAACAGGCAATGTTAGCTGACATAGGTCAGGCTGGAAAAGAGCTAGCGGCGGTCAAACCAAAATATGGCTTCATCAGCCAGTGAAATTCCACAACAGTCAGTTTAAGCCAGCCAGCCAGCCACGTATAGAAGTGCAGACTTCCTGACTGGTTGGGGTCCTCGGGACGGTAAAAACCAGTGAGGGCTGGAGACAATCGGTGATATGGCTGGCTCAAAGTGATCGTTCTCAATGGCTGGTTCTGATGCCAATGAAATTATATTGTTCTTCGTTAGTACTATTCCTTTTGTTTCATATCCCTGTCTACTGTCCGTATTTTCATTTCTTTTACTTTCTTCTCTAGCTTGGTGTGGTACATGGAGGGAGTGTGGCGACTTGAACTGCTGCACATTAGTGCAAAGTTCTATGTCGAAAACAGACAAACAAACAGATGGAGCCAAAGAAGGCAGGTGTTGATAAAAGTCTGCAATGACTTGTTGGAAATGCTTTCCGTGACAACTGTTACTAATTTGAAATACTGAATGTCTTTTCATACAAGGTACGTTAAATTTCCATTATACAATAATGCTTTAGAGCCTCACACTCTACGAGACAAAAGGAACGAACACAAAAGTCAATTACATCTTGTTGTGTACGAGCAGAATAGCCAAAGTATATTTCAAACGTGAAATCTTCGAATGTTTGGCATGCGATTCGCTCTATTCAGGACTGGAATACACTGACTCCCAGTTTAAAGGTAAGAAGAAGATTGGTAGAGTGTATTCACCACTTCATTAATATAGGGAGCTGCTTCAGTCCCAGTGGACTGATTGCTGACGACTTCTAACCATGGATATTGATTGAAGGTTCATGTGCAATTTACCAACTTACGTCATTTCTGACATAAGCATGACATCCGGTTACCGATCAAAGGACGTGTGTGTTTACACAGCGGTTCGCTCTGTCCTCCCTTATGGATATGAGACATAGCCATTAAAAGTAGAAGGTATCAAAAGGCAAGCTGTCTTCGATCACATATGTTTGCGCTCTATCTGCCATGTTAAGTGGTATAATATGATCCGTAATAATGAGGTTACGTGTAGAATGTTAAGTAACGAGGTTACGTCAATCGATAAGATCGTAAAGCTACATCGACTGAGATGGTCAGGACACAAGGCGTGTCGAGCATGATTAGCCATTGTCTTCCTTAACAACAAATACTAACCGACATAGGATTAGGCTGGAGGATAGTTAGAGGTGGTCAAACCAAAACTTGGAATCGTTCCATGGATTCTTTGACTGGTTGGTTTCAGCCACCCATGTAGAAAAGAGGTGTAGGCTTCCTGGTCCGAGTTCTCGGAATGCTAAGAACCAGCAGCTGCAGACTATTGGTGATATGGCTGAAAATTGTTCCCTCAACGGCGTAGATGCATTCACATTACCCAGTTGCCCAAGTTGAAGTAGGCAGAGGCAAATTCGAACACAGTAGGTACCCATTAGTCAAAAGTAGACTACTTCCTAAGCCAATGGGGGTCACATATATCTTCATGGTTCAGAATTAAGCTTACGCATATTAACTTGTCTACTTACCTTTTTACGCATTCTTTCCAAATATGTCTTTTTAAACGAATACATATATTCATTTTGTAAAATATTAACAAATTTCATTTTCAAATCATCAAAGCCTAAAGATTCCTTGTCTGATTCATCAGATGACTTAGATACTTTCTGTTGATCAAGCAACGCTTGAATTAAACATTCAGCTAAACGTATACAATTCCACATACAAATAACTGGTTGTTGTGCATAAGCATATCGTCCATCTGGATCAGAAGTATTAGGTATATGATCCCATGTGAATTGATCAATAAAACCAAATGGTCCATAGTCAATTGTCAGGCCTATAATACTCATATTATCTGTATTCAACACACTAAGGCAAAGTGAAATAAAAAAAATAATAAACAGGTAAAATAATTCATTATATATTTAACTGTCCATCACTATTATAGTTGAAAACTGAAACACGGTGAATACTACTGACAAAGATATAAGTAGTATATGTATATAGTTCTGCTCCCTTGCGTTCCAAGCGGAACATACGGTTTCAAGCTCGAGCTCTGAAGTTTCAGTAGCAGTGATGTTTTATTTCCAAAGGCTAGGGTTGCTATCATGATGCCTACCTAACCTTCCCTCTTTACCAGGCTTAATACTGTAACAACAGAAGACAAGGGCCAGGCAACAGATCGTTTATTCACAAAATCAACAGATATTTATATATTTTCATGTACATTATTATAGATTATTGTAAGCAAACAAACACAGTCTTCTGAATGGTTGTTTTCTCGCTGAAAGTTATTCTGTCATCTCTTTGGGGCCGTTTCTTGAAGTTCAGATTATCTATCTGCAAATTGTATCTGCCTACGTAAAGTCTGCTGTGATTGGTTGTTGAATCAGTCTTTGTTCTTGTTTTTCTCACGACCAATGTTGGGGACGTAAACATTGACGTAAATTACTGTCTACCACTTTTGGCTAGCAGCCAGCTCTCACCACACTACTATTACCTAAGCGAGGTTTACGAGTGCATCGTTGGGAAGTCGAACCTCTGACCACACGTGTGGTGTAGTTGACGAGTATTATACTATCGCACCACCAACGAACTATACATACACCTAAGTAGTATACAGAGCAAGCAACTCTATAGAATCAATGATAATTTGTGCCTTTTGGAAAGCCAATGACACAGGGGAATGTAACAGCTCTGTGTGCAGTGCTTAATCACCAACATGACGACAGTAAACAAAACATGCCTGATACAAAATGTATAACATTATCTGTAGATTGTGAAATCAATATAAAACAAGCAATAACTGTCAAAAAAGCAGTATTTAATGCATTCATAAATTGTCATAGAAGGATTCACCATCTAAACACTATACAAACACACATTGTTGTTGATACAGTTTCATTTTAACGTTAAATACATACAAACACACAAGAATTGTGACAAACAAATACCTATCAATTTCAACAAATATATGACCTATAACCTGACATGTACCTGCGGTATATGTGTGACATATTCATAGTGTGGTGAGAGCTGTCTGATAGCCAAAATTGTAGAAAATAATTAACATCAATGTTTACGTCCCAAATTGGGGTCACGAGATAAAACAATAACAAAGCCTAACCTTGAGGAACTTAACGACCAATCACAGCAGACTTTGCGTGGGCGGATACGATTCGCTACTATATGGTCTGACCTTCACAGAAATAGCCATAAAGAGATGACAGAGTAACTTTCAGCAAGAAAACAACCAATCAGAAGACGCTGTTTCCTGCTAATAATAACGAATAATAATGTACATAAAAATCTGTTAATATCTGTTAATTTTCTCGATAAACGATCTGTTTTCTGATTCTTGTCTTCTGTCGTTACAACAGTACGCAGCAGAGATAAGGTCGAAGCCAATAAAATGTTAGGGCAATTTACTTCGTGCCAAGTTAGTACAAAATTTACAGCAGAACACGAAGATAATGATACTACATAGATTTTGGATGTTAATTTGATTAAACGAGCTGATGGAACCGTAGAGCGATCTATATATAGAAAGTTAACTTGGACGGAATAATTCATACATTTCAATAGCTTTGACCCCGTTCACAATACGAAAGGAGTCTAGTTAGAATATTATTCCATAGAGTAAGAACGATATGCCCAAGTGGCAAACTAGACTGCGAAGAGATAGTCTTCAGGGAGACACTTGTAAGAAATGGATATTCGGAAAGGTTTATGAATAAATATTCAAACGACAATAAAGGAAAAACAATATCAGAGACTGTATCCAAAAAGAAGGCTTACATAAAGTCACCTTCCAAGAGACTTAACGTTACTACTCAATTGATAAAAATGTCGCTCGTAGAAAGCAATTAAACGAACCTATTCTGTAGCTGATATGTTGCTCGTAAACACAACAATGGGGGCAAGTGCAGGCAACAGGCAAAGACAAGACATTGATCCTTATCACATCACAATGTGCAAATCAATTTACGTATGTTTTCGAAAGCAAATACAACGGGGGTAAGGAAAGATTATTAATTTAGACAAAGCAATAAAAAGACATAATTTGTCTGAATCGTGCGCAACACATTTCTAACAATCTGATCACACACGAACTTGTCATAAGAGTAAATATATGAAATTAATAAAAAGTTAAGAGGTGAGAAAATAGACCAGTTAGGTCAAGTTAAAAGGACATATTCAAGGTCAAAATAACAATGAAGACCACTAAACCAAATAATAGAGGTAACAGTACATCTGCTATGGTATCAAAACAAAATTTACCAAAGAAGGTTTAGTATGATGACGCATTGTTTTCCAACGCGCAAAGGTGGTTTAAACTTTCTAATTGCCAGCTACGGCTTCCACAAACTTTAGGATACGCCCCAAAGACGTTTTATAAACAGATCATCAATTTTATGTCCTGTCTCTATTATGTGTTTCGCAGTAGAGGAGCTAGGTCTCCTGTTCTCACCGTTAATGGGTTCTGGGGATTCTATTTGCTTCCAGAGGTCGATGAGTCGTACCTTGTTGTTGTCATCACAATGTTCATTATTCTGTAATTAACCTTAAAATGAAATTGTATCAACAGCAATGTTTGTAGAGTATTCAGCTGTGGAGGAGGAGCCCTGCTGCCGCAATTTATGAATTCATTGAATACTCTTCTTTTTCACAGTTGTTACTTCTTTCAAATTTACTACGGGGAAAAAATATTCTCATCATAAGTATATAACAAATCCTTGTTATGTATAGCTCTTTTTACAAACGAAATAAAAATGATAGAGAAATTTAATATTATTATTATTATTCCTATTTACCCATGACAAAATCCAACAGTTTGCCAAAGTGCTACTAAATGTGCTGTACGTTCAAGAACTTCTTTAAAAAATTCCACATAACAATTAACCATGTCATCATAATTTGAAAGTGAATACTTCTCCCAAATCTAATTTAAAAAGCAGTTAAGGAAAAAAACAACAAAGGACTGAGTTAGAAAAACAACTTGGGTAAGAAGAAGTTTATTTAGTTAAACAGATATGTTACCTTTTGTACACTTTACACTAGGTGGGTAACTAATTTCATCCCTCTAGTGTTGGTATTGGTGCAGACTGAAGTCTATCAGTCAAATTTGTAATATGTATATGGCACCCGTGCTAGGTGGCCCGCCATCACAGTGAATTCTGAATTGTTGTTCGGTAGTTTAAAGCCTTGGACCTACCTAGGTGTTGTGCTTGTCAGCACTACTCACCAGTCATCAGGGCGTCTGAAGTCTTTGATGAACTCATGTCCTAGCCGCCCCCCTCCCCCGCTGGGATTCGAATCTGGTTCACAATCAGTTCTGCAATCAATCAAAGACGTTACCACTGAGCTATTCCGACTAGCGATTGACTTCCTGTAAAACTGCAATGGATATTATGATTGGACAATCATGTCACGCGTCTAGTCCTTCGTTTGGTGTAGACTAAATCCTATCAATATAGCAAAAATATTCATTCAGACATCTATAAAACACAAAATAATTGAGCAAAGAATATCCTTTTCGATAATTTCCTCTTCTGGCTCTACAAAAGGGTATGAAATTAAAACAACCGGCTTGTGGATAATTGCATTAAACCAAAAGTGGACAACATGATAGTAAAACCTATAGGGTAGCATTATACATTGCAAAGGAACTTTGTCAGCCTAGGGATTATAATCTCCCACTGTATTTCCTTTATGAATGCATATATTAATGATACATTGCATTTACCTATTTCATTACACTTTACTGATTCACCTTAGCATCTTTACTTTTCTAAAACAGCTTACTATCCCTTGTAAACGTTGTACTTACCTCAATATTGGTTGGTTATCGTATGCCTACAACTACGGGTTGAAAACGAAACGAAGTCGATTTTCCTGCGCAACCTGGAGGACTACTGTTTAATTCAATAATGATACGACATGGGTCAGACAAAGAGTGTATATATATATATATATATATATATATATATATCAAATATTTAGCTGTTCAAACAATACTAACTTGCAGACAATCTACTATTTGACATTGTATCATACTTGATCGTGCCTGTAAAAATGGCATGCATTTTCATGTAGATTTATGTTTATATGAAATATAAAATTATTATTATTATTATTATTATTATTAGATATCTGTATGTTCACATACATAGAATATTCTAGAATAGTGGTCAACAACAATATTGGTGTTTTTTAAATTAATATCGATTTGTAGAGTAAGACCAATGGAATTACAGTTCAGTAAAGATGCTTAAATTATAATAATAATAATAAAGATATAGTAACAAACAGAATATCAAATAAAAATAGGAAAATTTCCACAAAAATTCAGGATCATTCAAACCTAGATGGCCAAGGTAAGGACAATGTCTGAACTAGCTTCTTTTGGACGCATAAATTAGGCTTGTTAATATAGATCCCAACAGCCTCAGCAATATTTAGTAGACGAACTCTTAAGGCAAACTTAAGATTTGTTGGTATGCGATAAATAACTCTGAAAGAGGCCTCGTTAACATCAATCTTGTGTTCTGTATCCACAGAATGAGATAGAATAGCGCTGCGAATAGATTTTGTTTGTCCTTTACTTAACCATACAGGGTGATGTTCGGAAATTCGACGAGAAACACACTTTATTGTACAGCCTTTGTAACTGGCTCCACAGGAGCCATCTAGGTTTGAATGATCCTCCATTTATGTGGAATTTTCCTAATTTTAGTTGATATTCTATTTGCTATTATATCTTCATTATTATTATTATCATAATTTAAGCATCTTTAATGAACTGTAATTCCATTGTGATCTTACTTTACAAATCGATATTACTTAAAAAACACTAATTTTGTTATTGACTACTAATCTAGAATATTCAATGTATATAAACACATATAATTGTTGAGCGAGAAGAGGAAATTATCGAAAAGGATATTCTTTGCTCAATTATTTTGTGTTTTATAAATCCTGTCAATGGATATTTAATTCAAAGGCCATATGTATATACTTATATTTGTTATATTGAAACGGAAGATGACGTACGACTTGATTTAAGAATATTTATTAGGAAAGTGGTATCTCTATTTAGCCAAATTATGTATACCTTATTTCCAACGCACCATTTGCACAGATCTTCCGTGTCGTGGTACTTCTGGACGTCATATTGTGTTTCTTTGTGTTCCTTTCACGTCTCCCATGTATCTCTACAACGCTGCATCATTTGCCTTCTCCGAAATCAAATCCATCTCCCTGCTATTTAATGTTTTTATGCCGATGAACGTCTCTTCATATACTACTGATAAATCTCATCAGTAATACTCGCAAGACTATGTGACAGTTAATCAAACCACTTGACTGTGTAAAACTCGCTAGGATGGAAGTTGTGTTTAAATAGATGGACTACACTTCCAGTGGTTTAGTAATGAAGAATAAAATAATAATTTACAGTTCCTCTTTATTGTGAACTGAAAACAATAGAACGAAGTAATGAAATCTTGAATTAGGATTTTCCATCGAAAGCAAAAATTAAGCAACTTCAGATGTACGAATTTTAGATGATATGCCTTATATGCCTTCTGATTTATGCTCATACAGTGTCAAACCCCCGCCCTCCCGACCACATTTTTGTTCAACTGCATAATTCAGGACTTATCTAGCTAAACAGCTTTATTTTTCGGGTGTAACAACAATCAGCTCATGATGAAAATCCTGTAACAATCAGATTAGTTCATTATGTTAAGATAACTGATAAATTTTAACCGAAATCATACAATTAACATATATTTGCCTCTCAACAGGGATTTCATTTGTTTCGAGTTTGATTACGGATTGATACCATTGAGAATATGCAGAGAGTACTGGACAGCTGCTTCGTCCTAGTTTGGTACTCCTCATCAGTACGTACGCACCGAATGATGTGAATCTGTGATCAAACTTGAAGCAAATTAAATCCTCATAGACTAACTCTTGAAAACTAATCTGATGATGGTTAGTGACTGGCTCGACAGGAAACAGTTGCCTGGAGTCTCACTGGGAAGTCGTGGACAGTGGGGTCCCCTTAGTTTGGGAAGGAGGACAAATACTCGCCGCCAGTGGCATTGGATGGTGGTCATGCTGAAATCACGAATTGGTAGAGGTTAGAATCCATCGGCCACTGAGTCGGATCCCAGTGGCTGAATGGTCTACGAGTTTGCCTTGTAACCGGGAGGTCCTGGGTTCGACCTCTGGAGCTAGGTGTGAACTGACGATGAGTCCCAAACTAGGACGAAACGATTGTCTAGTACTCCCTGATTTTCAATATATTTACTTAATTATACGTTCAACTACAGGTGGCACGGATGAAGATGTCAAAACCAGAATCAGAAAGGTGAGGTGGATATTCCATAATCTGAAATCAGTGTGGAAGTCTCCTGCCCTAAGCATAAGGAGCAAGATCCAAATTTCCACAACTAATGCCAAGGCAGCGAATGCTTGTAAATGGTTCACAGACTTTATTATTATTATTACCACTCAATGGCTTGACACGCCACGTCATTCGACGGCCTCCTCAATGTATGCCCGATCCACCTCCATTATCTCCTACATATTTAAGTGATCGGCTCTTGGTTGGTTTGTTCCCAGTTGTTGGTGAAAATCTGCAACCCGGTTTTAAGCCCGGGTAAAGAGGGAGGGTTGAGCGTGGGGCTAGCTAGCAACCCTACACCACTAAACTTCAACGCACAAGAAATATTTTAAAAATACAAAAACTTCAGAAACTTTACGTGCTACCAGAAGCATTTCGAACAGCTGCTTCCGCTCCATACTGAAGATCACATAGCCACAAAGCATTGGCAACAAATTACTTCAACATGAACAACCGGATACGGCAGTTAGTCTTGTGTTTCAAAGCTCAATGTATAGAAAAACACATGAACTAAGTAGCTCAGTTGCATTTTCAACTGCGTTACCATAGTTTTAAGCTTAGGGTTGTGGACACAGCCTAGTTAATTTATTTGTTGATAAACATCTCTAATATGTTGACGGCTACAGTGCGAAGTGTAACGTGAATTAATGCCTCATTTTCGGTAAATGTTTAGAAATCTTATCTGTCATACTTCTATCACCGATCACATAGACATATATAGGTGGTACACTAGATCTTTTTCTAACCGCTTTTAGCAGTTGTTTTTTGCTGGAGTAACTGAAGACAAAAGCCTCAACTAGTCTTGAAAATGTAAATCGTTGATTAAGCCTCACTTGCCTTTGACTTACACAAAAGTTGGAATGAAAAAGAAAGTGAAATTCAACAACAAAGAAGTAAACAAGTTCTAGTTTAATACTTGACAATGAAACGCACGTATTGTTTGTATACAGGACAACGATACTTACTCAATTGATCCAAATTCATTAGGCATCAAACCTACAGAACCTACCCTAGTTGACAGTCTGATAGGACCCAGCATAAAACAGCATATCATTCTTTCTCATGAATCGTGGGATTTATCATGGTGGTGGAGTTACTATGTGAATGTATCATTTCTCACGCATATATTGTGATTTAGTGTCTTTTGTGTCACCTTGGTCTTTGGCGGATCGTCAACCAATGAGAATAGCCATTGGCAGCCAATAAGAACAATCCATTCTCACGGCTGTGAGCCGACTTTATTATGGTAAAGAAAATGTATAAATATGCATGTGTTGTTTCCTAAAATGTACAATATCTTACAGTCACAGGCCAGCGCCTTTGTCTTTTGATATTTGCGTGGCTCAGTCAATCGGAAGGTACAAAACGGACAAATAGATAGACGTATTATTAGCGCACCCAGTCGAGTTCATTACCGTTATAGTAGTAATTAACAGGCGCAGACATAACAAAGCAGCGACGGAGTTTTATTCAGCTCAGTGCAGTTCAGTTATATATAACACAGTCAAATATCGAAATCAATCAAGTCGTAACTGTACGCCGGTGGCACAGTGGTTAGGACTCTCGCCGACCATGCACATGGTCCGGGGTTCGATTCCCTGCCGACGCACACCCAATATCAATGGTCGGCCTGCAAAATTTGGACTACCGATATCACATGCTGAAAATTCCATCCTTGTACCAAAAATACGGTGTGGAATCAAGCTATAATCAATAATATATATATATATATTACACCACAGAACACCCACAGTATTACAGAATGATAAGTATTAACTCAACAATGGTAATTAGTAAAAAAAAAGAAAAAAAGAGAAAACTTACATGGGGATAAAACTGTTGAATTACAAAATTTGTAAGTTGTGATACAATTTCCAAATTACCAAAACTTGGTCCATAACGTCCAGTAACTGGATCTTGTGGTTTCGATATTTCAAAAGAGCCAAACCTTAAAAAACACAACCAAAAATTAATCACAATTATGTGAATAAAGGACGGAAGATGCATCTGAGTAGAACAATAAATCGATAGATAAAGATACCCCTAAATTGAATTAAAATGCTCTAAAATTATTCTATAATATTTTAACACTGATGTCAAGTCAATGCTTCTATACAGATCAGAAACTTGACTTGTGCGTCACGAAAAGCATTTCCAAAAGGCTGTAGACTTCACCAAGAGCTACATACATGTTCAGAGATACTACAGATCAGATAGCTGACTAGAAGGCATAAACCACAAGGAAATTTGGCAGGCAGTGAAAACGAATAAGAGACTACTACCCAACAAATATGCAGAAGGAAATGGAAGTGGATTGGACATACACGGAGAACTTCAAGTGACGTCATTCACGATAACTAAAACGTGTTTAAAGTCAGATAAAAATGATTTCACCTCTCTCCTCAGTGCAAATAATCTACCATATAAGTTGAATTCCTAAGCCATAACGATCTAAAGTAACTGATTTATGAATATGATCTAAATTTTCGAGCTAAAATTTCACATAAAAAGTGCAGAAAATGCTACACTTGATAAAAAGAAAAACGCAAAAGAAATAAAATAAACAAAGAATGAATAATTACATAGAGAATAATGAGGATTTAATGGATATCTAAAAGAGTGAATGCATTTACACCATTGAGAACGATTCTGAGCCATGTTATCGACAGTCTCTAGCCAATAAGTCTTAGCGACTCCATGATCTTACCTAGGACCCTCTCTAGACGCCTAAAACTAACAGTCGAATAGATTGATGCCATAGCTCGATTTGATAATCTCCAACTCTTTTCCAACCTGATCTCATTTCAGCCAACATATTTTGACCTAATGACCTTTCAACACCTTTCAAACTATACATCATACTTCAAGAACATGACAAAAAAACATGATATTTTTCTAAATAAAATAAAATTCATTACTCTTCATCAGATGCTTATCACCTGATTAGAACTGCAAAGAGATAGTGATCAATGCAATCATAAGAAAATACAACCAAGAGGAAGATATTCCTTTGTAACTCTGACTGATCGACTGACTGACTTACTCAACAACCCAGGACCTTTGGCAAAATTGGGTTATTTAAAGTTGCTACACCAGAATTCTTTCATTTTATTATTCCTTTACATTTCGAGTGGAACATAGGGCTTCAGACTAGAGCTTTGAAGTTTCGGTAGTAGTGGTTTTATTTTTACGAGGTGAGGTTGCTGGCCTCACACCCAACCTTCCCTGTTTACCAGTGCTGCTACTGGTTCAACGAGGTTAGGGAGGGAGTCAACTGAGGATCGAACCCCAAACCACGTGAGGGTCCCAGTGGTTGAATGGTCTACGACCTCGCCTAGTAGCTGGAAGGTCCTGGATTCGAACCCTGGCGGTGGGTACGTATTGCTGAAGAGTCCCAAACTAGAATGAGACAGCTGTCCAGTACTCCGTGGTTGTTTTCCAATGGTTCTCTAACTGATGTCAGATCATGATGAAATCCTCCAACCTCTACTACTGAAACTTCGAAAATCTCGAATTCCTATTTTCTGCCCACAATTCAAAGGAATAAAAAAATATTGAAAGATCACCACTTACTCCGACGAGAAATGTCGAGGTGTTTCTTACCGGGTGGGATCTTTAGCCACACATACCCAACCTTTCCTCTCTAACGGACTTACTATCAGCTGGTAAGCTAGGCGATGTTTAGGAGTGCGTCGACTGGGAATCGAACCCAGACCAATTGCATGGCTGGCGGACATTCTATGACCGAACCACCGATACATGATCCACCGACATCATTTATACAGGTACACATATATACATGCAAGAAACATTACACTGAAGTTTAGTCAAACACCAAAGACAACATTCAGCGACACCATCTCGCTAGAAAACACTGTAGGAGAATAAAAAGACCTCAACATTAAAATACACACAAATCACTTATTACCTTATAAATGTTTTAGCCACTCGACTAGTTATACTGGCTCGTTCAAGAATATTATCCCCCGTATAAAAAATATCACGCTCAACCATAGTATCAGAAGTAATAACCGATCCAGCTCGGGTTGTTGGTATACCTAAATAATGCATAGCCTAAAATAAATAAAGTAAATGTTATCTTCAAGTGTAAGTAGTTTGTAAGTTTCAAGTTTGATCACAGATTGATATAATTTAGAGAACCATTGAAAACCAGTCAATACTGTACAGCTGTTTCGTCCCAGTTCGGGACTCTTCATCAGTACGCATCCCTAACCCCATCGAGAATCGAATGATCAACGAGGTTGCCTTGCAACCTGAAGGTCCTAGATTCCATTCCTGGTGGAACGCATACTGATGAAGAGCCCCAAATAAGGACGAAACAATAGTTCTCTAAATGATATCAGTCCCTGACCAAACTCAAATATTATTAGTAAATGTCAACTGTAGAAAAGATGTTTAAAAGAACAATACTATCCGTTCGGTTTAAAAATAATGCAGGAGATTTGTACTTTTGGTGGATAGTTCTGGTGTTGTTATGTTCTCTGAGCTGAACAGTTTAATTACGAAGCTATCATTCTCTTTCTACACAATACCCTTAACTCTAACTTCGAAATAAGGATGAATGTTCAATCGGAAACTTTGAATGGATAGTTTTGGGATTCGAACTCCGTCTTACTTAGCAGAATGTCACAAGACAGTCAGATGAAGTAATTAATGTCTACATGATCATAATAATTCATAGTAAATTTAATTGGTGGATGGTGACTAGTAGTGGAATCCAGGATGCGCATTTCGTCCTATTTGGGACTCGTCAGCCAGTGGATGTACCTGCATTCTCCAGTGAGTGATGATGTTACCACTGAGGCTCGAACCCCGTGCCCATAGTTTCAAACACCAAAACAGGTCACCACCCACCATTTAACTCCTAATTACATGCCCAGACATCGTCGAAGCATCTGTACAAGAAGCTGACATGTCAACCTGAGACCGAGCACTTCGGTTCAATCAATCGACGGGAAAATCTAAAATTCAATTAAATTCATAGTAAAGTCTAAATTCTTATGTAGATTGCTCAGTGGTGTCAGTATATTAGTATTATTACTATTAATAATTATTTTAGGCGGAAATCAAAGAATATGAACTACGTGGCTAGTTTAAATCAACTGTTGTGGATGTCATCGGCTGATGAAGCCATGTTTTGATTTGACCACCGCTAGCTCTTTTCTAGCGTGACCCTATGTCAGCTAACATTGCCCATCGAGATAGAACGCAGGCACCTATGGTCAAAGACAGCCAACCACCTTTTTCATGTCTTCCACTCTCAATGGCCAGGTCTCGCTCACAGCCATAAAGGAGGACGGAGCGGACTGCTGCTGATCAGTACACCCGTCCTTTGGTCGATGATTCTCCAACCTGTGATATCTGAGGAAATCTGCCTGGCTATCAAAAATTAACCAATACTTTCTGAGTTACAACATAGAACTTTGCACAGAAGAGCAGCAGTTTAAGTTGCCATACTCAATGTAGCACACAAAGGCAGAGAAAAGGGGAAAAAGAGATCAAAAAGAAACACATATAATAAGCAGAAATGTGCAGCAGGAAGAATAGTAACACGGAAAAAAATGTGACGGTTGACCAATATACTTTATGTGTCACAAAACGAAGTATTTTTTTATTTGTCAACAGATACATTTTACTAAGCATCATGTGTTGAAGCACCACAAGTTAAAAAGATCATGAAGTCCATCAGTTTAAATTTTCCTCTTAACACTTTGTTATTAGGCAAAAGAATCGTAAACTGATGAGACAAATGAAACTTCAGTGTCACAACATATCTTATATAAATTCTTCTTTATGACAATGTTTGAAACTACCACAAAGAACAAGCAGATGTGCATACTTGATATAACAGTCAAACAACCTACACCACACTTAAACATATGGATGCAAATCAATCACTGAGATAAGAGTGAAACCGGAAGTATACTTCCAGACATCCTAAAATGAGAATAATTATAAAGGATGGGTTTATTCGAAGACTATATGCTCAACTCGAGCCCACATTACTCAGTGCTGCTATCAGGGACGTCAACACTGAGATATCCGGGCATGCAACTGACTTTCCATTGGACTGTATTGGATTCTTTGATTGGACACTAAGTAGTAACTAGAGTAGGCAGAATTCAGTCTGTATCAAAACAAGGACTAGATGCATAACACTGGTTACTACCTACTCCTCAATCAAAGTAGACAGAATGATCCTATTTTCTATATTTTTTATTTTTCTCCTTCACGTTCCCTAGTGGAACATAGGGCTTCAAGCTAGCGGCTTGAAGTTTCTGCAGCAGTGTTCATTTTTACAGGATGGGGTTGCTAGCCTCATGCCCAACCTTTCCTCTTCACCAGCATTATTTCTGGCTTACCGAGGTAGAGGAGTGCGTCGGCCGGGAATCGAACCCCGGACCATGTGCATGGTCGGCGAGCGTCCTAACCGCTATGCCACCGACGCACCAGAATGATCCTAGTTCTTCAAAACAATGTGGTAGGTGTGGGTAAGAAACGCTTCACTAAACTCAGGTGATAAAGGTTAACACAACCACATAAGTCAATAATAGTATAAGGCAGAATAAAAAAATATATCTAATTTGAAGACTTTTACAGTGACTTACCTCGGAACAAAGAAACTCTCGCAAACTAGAACGTAACACTTTTCTTCCATCGCCTTGTCGAGAAAATGGAGTTAAACCTGATCCTTTCAACTGCAACTCCCAACGTTCACCCTTTTGATTGACCACTTCTCCTAAAGAACTAGAGAAGAAATAGTTACGTAAGTTAACAAGTAATTTCACGCGGGAATTATAAATGATTACGTTCATAGTAAGAGGCAAGTAGCATTTTTGTGCGTCGGTGGCACAGCGGTTAGGACGCTCGCCAACTATGCACATGGTCCGGGGTTCGATCCCCGGCCGACGCACTCCTTTACCTCGCTAAGCCAGTAATAAGAAAAGCTGGTAAAGAGGAAAGGTTGGGCATGAGACTAGCAGCCCCATCCTGTAGAACTAAACACTGCTACAAAAACTTAAAGCCCTATGTTCTACTGGGAACGTGAAGGAATAAAAAAAGGTTTACAAGTATCCAAAACCAAATGTTTTCAAGATGCCTGAGACTCAAGTGTGACTGCATGATTAAATATGTGCATTTCTTCTCTAAAAAATTTACTTTGCACAGTAAGCAGTTTGAGAAAGTTTTGTTTTGACTTTTAAAGAATTTCATAAGAATAACTGGAGTTGAACTATCGCAACATTTTACAGAAACAAAGTTGCTCTCGCTACAAAAATGTATGCAGTGAAAAGTGATTAATGAATAAGGTAAGTGGTATAACACGTAGTATTAATTTCATAATAGCTTTGAAGATTCTACTATTAATTGAACTCCTGTCATGTATTCTGGTATGTAAGCATTTATTTGTCTCCAGATTCAAAACTCGATTGTATAGTGGTGAGTATCTCCGCCTGTCACGTGGAAGGCCCGGGTTCGATTCCCGGTCGAGGAGCCAGTGCGTCGGTGGAATAGCGGTTAGGACGCTCGCCAACCATGGGTTCGATCCTCGGCCGACGCACTCATTTACCTCGCTAAGCTAGAAATAATGCTGGTGAAGAGGAAAGGTTGGGCATGAGGCTAGCAACCCCATCCTGTAAAAATAAACACTGCTACAGAAACTTCAAGCTTCTAGCTTGAAGCCCTATGTTCCACTGGGGAACGTGAAGGAAAAAAAAAGATTCAAAACTCCATCTACCTTCTTCAAATTTGACAATCATATAGTGTCATAAGTTCTTAAATATTACTTTTGGTAACTAACTGAGTTAAATTAAGCACAAGTGAAAGCTGAAACTCCACATAATGACATAAAACCCTCTGATATGCTATTCTACAAACTTTTGAACTTAAACTGAAGTTATCTAAAACACATGAATCAATATTTTGCTAGCAAACGAGAGGATTACGAAAAAGGGTAACAGCACTGGGTGTAATTCACGATAGTGATGTGTGCATCAAGATTCTATCAATTTATTAATGACCAGAAATGGTAAGAACTAGCGAAACATTTGACCTCTAAACCAAACAAATCTTCGGATAGATTTAGCTTAGACGGCTGAAAGCGTAAATTCACTTAATCAAATAATGAGGTCGAACCTAAACGATTTTTGATTGGATACTAGTAACTAGTGAGACGTGTCTAGTCCTTTCTTTGGTGCAGACTGAATTCTATCAGTCACGTTTGTAATGTGGCCATCATTCTAGGTAGCTCACCATCACGGTGGACATTTATTTGATGATATTAGATGGTTGGAGGCAATCGGCCACATAAAGCCTTGGACCTAGGTTTCATGCTAGTTAGCACTCACCAGTCAGCAAGGCATTTCTGCAGCCATGGAGGAACTCATGTCCCTCTGAGATTCGAACCCAAGGCTTCCTGCCGATTGCCTCCAACTATCTAATATCATCAAATCAATGTGCACCGTGATGGCGAGCTACCTAGAATGGTAGGCACATTGCAAACCTGACTGATAGAATTCAGTTTGCACCAAAGAAAGGACTAGACACATCACACTAGTTACTAGTGTCCAATCAAAATATCCAATACAGTCTTAAATGAGGTCAATCGCGAGCCCGAATAACTATCTCAGTGGTAAAGTCTCTGACTGCAGCACTGGGTTGAACCGGTTCGAATCTCAGAAGGGACATGAGTTCCTTAAAGATTGCAGATACGCCTTGCTGACTGGTGAGTGCCAACTAGCACGAAACCTAGGTGGAAGGCTTCCTGTCGATTGCCTCCAACCATCTAATATAATCGAACCTAAAGCAGTTGGACAGTTATATGATGTTTAAATGACCGCTATTAAATTAAAAATGTACAACTGGTTAGTGTAACCTGTCTTCAGTCACTAAGTTGAAGTGAGTCTGACTAGAATTAGACGGATATGTAGCCAAAACGAAGATCTACCGTGATATACAGTCATACAACAATCGTTAACGTTATGTCTAATATCGGCTAACAAGCGAATGGGCTCATGATACCTCAAGCACTGTAAGCAATCACCCTAGTAAAAGTCAACCAGTTATCAGCAATAGCTGGAGACTTTTGGTGATATGGCTGAAAATCGTCCTCAGTGGTGCAGATGCATTCACTCTCTGTGATCTGCCATATTTAGAAAACTCTACTGTTTTTTCTATGTTACTACTGTTTCTTCCGCACATTTCTGTGTATTATCGTTCTTCCGAATATCTTTTCTCTCTTTTGTCTTCCTTTGTGTAATTCATGGAGTGTGACAACTCGAACCGGTGCACTTCTGTGCAAAGTTCTATGTTGAAACCAGTCAGTCAGTCAATCGGCCTCGTAAAAATCAACCAGTTAAATATATTCATGGAGCAACCATAGTCGGTGGATTACTGAATGTGATCCACAGTTTTCTTCACAACAATGCAGATGTATGTAGAATGCCTTTTTACTTAGAAGTAGTGTATGCCACTTGTCAAAACATCCCTTTTACTCTTTTATCTTATAGCTTCTAACGACTACTGATATGACACTTGGAAACTTTATTCGTTAGAAAACTTTGACTGGTTCCATGGTTCTTTTGTTTATATGACTAAAAATATTTTCCACATCTAATACTCCAAAATCAAAATCATTTTTGAAAAATTAAATATTAATCATTATATATACGCAGACAGAACTTATGGTACCATGGTCGCGTATTACCACTTTTGTTGCAACTTTGTGTAATATTGTAGTATCCCTGAATAACACTCAAATGAGCTAGTTATAGTGTTTCAGATGTAGAAGATTAAATAAATCCTTTCACAGTTATTTTTTAGTAGAGTTAGGCTCAAAAGCTTAAGGAGAAAAAAGATACCCTCAATGTGCATCAAAAGCTTAAGAAACATCTTACATACATCGCTGCACCATCGCCAAGTTGACCAGCAAAACTTCCAAATTGATAGCCACAATAACAATGAGATGCAGGATCACTACCAGGCCATAGTTTATTACCTGACAAGTATTCAACTAACGAATTTGTTTCTTCAGATTTATCACTTTCTATGTCTAAAAGATTCAGCACATCAGGCGATAAAATAACTAAGCGGGGATTATCCACTTTTGTTGGATTAACGCGTGCAAAACAAGCATTTCGTACAGAACGGATAGTATTCGGACCATCATCAACTGGTAGACACTTCAACTGGATATTATCGAATCGTGGATACTTTATTGATTGTGAAATATCACTAGATGATGAACAATTGCGAGATGACATGCTCTTATTATTCATAAACGAGACAAGACCGAAATGCAGTTTTTGAAGACAATAACGAGTTTTATAACATCTCACCAACTTCTGAAAAATAAAACGTTCAAAACAAGTTTTTACAATAAACGTTTTCTGTTTTGCTTACAAAAGACTTGAAACACAATGTAAAAAAGAACAATGGTAACGAAGTGAAACTAGCAGAGATAAAATTGATTAAATTTCATCATGCATTCAGATATTTGAAAATAACTTGAATCTGCGATTGTGCAGTATATGAACCGAGTTATGGACATATAACTCACAGACGAAAAACAATACAAAAGTTAAATCATTAAGAAAAAACATCACGATAAACTAAAGAGGAAGAGAGGAAAGTATGAACTTATTCCCTGATGACTGTACACAACAAGCAAATCATTGGAGAACCTTTGACGATACTTATTTAGTTTAACACTTGATATATTTACGTGCCAATGGTTGATTCTCTAGAATTAGTAGTCTATACCTGTATCGACATTCAGTAGTAACATTCACTTTTTTAGTTAACATGATTAGTTTAAGACACTCGCTTAAGCACTTTCTCAACTCAACACGCCGTCATACGTCCAGCTTCTAGTAAACACTTTCCAGTTAGTTAGGCACACATCGAATTAACGAAAACGAACCCAAAATATGTATCTTGTGTTGGACAATCAGACTGTTGTCCTTGCTATATCTCCTTAAATGATTTAATTCTAAAGTTATGAGAATACACTTAAGTTAGATAGTAGTACTCATACGCAACCTTTTTTCCAAACTTTTAATCAGGAAAAAAAAGGAAGAGAGGAATTACCGCTAACGTATAAAGACTAAACACATATGAAACTCCATTCTTTACTCTGCTGCTGCCAAATATTTCTAATTAATTTCATTTTGTCTCATTTCGTTATCTATATCATTACTAATATTCCACATTTTTGACAATAATGGACCTGCCTTATACCTCTTATAAAGAATAAATCGGTCCAAATAATAGACCATGCAAACCATCTGACTATTAGTGTGGGGGAAATTTTCAAAAATTGCACCACAAAAACCACTGCTATCAGCCGAACTTCAGCCATCAAATCTAGGAATAGTTCACTACTTTTGAGTAAGTTTGTTAAATTAAACTGTCCTCGCGTAATCAGTAGATTAGATGTACCTGAATGCTCCAGTTGCTGAGCGTTAAACTAACAAATCCTGAATTCAATATCCACTGCAGTTACAGCAGTCTTGACAACCAGTTAGCTTTACAGGCCTCTATAGACTTATCACCTTGAAGACCTCATATCGGCACATCAAGTAAACAAATGTGAAACAGGACAAGTGCGAATCTTTCATAATCCCGAAAAGCCATAAGGTAGGAAAAATGATGAGTGAGTAAGATGTAACATTAAGGTGATAGTAAAGTCTGAATGATAGAATCTGAAATATAAAGGTACTCCATATTCGATCTCAAAACCGACGGTAAGCAAAATACGCACATAACCAATCTGTATTTATATTGATGTAGCAGACATTTTACGGAGACCTAACACAATCTCTCTACAGGAACTACAGAAGCAGAAGTTGATTTCAGCAATAAAATTCTGGCGGGAATATGATGGGAATATCTTTTCAGCCAAAACTCTAATTGTCCTAAATGAGCAAAATGTACCCCTAAATCTCCCAAGCAACAATATTTAATAAATGTATGTGCAGGAGTGGTAATTATATATTACTACATCACATAACACTTACGAATAAGTACTTTCAAAACTACAAAAAGCATCTTAGTGTTAGACTTCTTTACAGAGAATAACTCTGAATACTGAATTCTATTACGTTTCATTTGACCAATAATAATTTGTCATTCACATATGCTTGCAGGCCTAAGCAAATTACAGCACCTACTCGATTGACATGAAAAACAAAACTTTGGTATCGCTCCAAGAAATTGCTCGAAGGTAGTAAAGTATTTTCGAAAAATTCTTCGGTCATGACTAGAAAACTGTATCCAGGCAGCCAGTACCTGTCTTAAAGGAGACTCACACGTTCTAGAAAGGGTTCAAAGGAAGGCAACATGTATGGTTCTCGGAATGACTAATTTATCATACGATGCAAGACTAAACAGTTTAAATCTCTTCTCCCTGTCATACCACAGGCAGAGAATAGATTTAATCACAGTGTTTAGAATTCTAAATTATGACTACGGACCTGACCTATCCTCCCGTTTCATTCCCACCAGGTGGGAACACCTTACAGGACATAGCAGGAGAGTTCAAAAGCCAAGAAGAAATCATATTGCTGTTGAGTACTGGTTCTCACACCGAGTTATAAACTCTTGGAACCGACTCCCAGAAGAAGTGGTGTCTGCAACCTCAACTGATTCGTTCAAGAAGGGTCTGGACAACCACAGAAATTCACCAGAAAAGGATTAACATAGGCTCTAAGCCTTCTATCCTCAACCAATATATATGAATCTGGACGCCAGGAGTTTTGTAGTGAATATGCACAAATACATAGATACATAAACCAAACAATATGTTCCAGTTATTTGGAAAAAGTCGAAGTGTGAAATCTTCTCACCTACGGAAGCCCAGTACTAGATGCTCAAATACAACACCGTTACTAAAATTGCTGTAACAGCATAGCACACAAAATAATATATATCAAGCACGCTGGCTTTAGACGTGAAAAGCAGAACACAGCTGGAGTCTAGACTCCAGTCGAAACACTTTATGATTACCAACCGTCTCAATAAAAGAAGAGCCAAGGTTGTGTACAATAAAACAGCTAGGCTATCACTGTTCTTTGGAATACGACCAACTGTAATAGAACAACACAAACAATAATACAGGTCAAACACGCAGGGTAAGGCGAAGAGGCAGAACACGACTTGAGGTGAAGCACTTTATAATTGACAACTGAATTAACACCAGCAGAAGCCCAAAAAGTAATATATATGTACAAAGAGCTAGGTTATTACAGTTCAGCGTCCACCGGTTTTTGAACTGACGCTTCCATTCAAATTTGAACCACTACACCAACTTCAATGTTTCCTTCAGTAGCACTACCAACGAATTTACGCATTAGCATCCAATATCCAATTTCGTTTTTACGAGCTAGTATAAACCAACTTGATTATTTTGTGCTCGCCTCTTGATTGTGAGGTATAGGTTCCTGATCTTCGGTAAACTTCTGCGTAGCTCATCCCACCACTCAACTGTCGTAGCTTTAGCTGACTCCAAAAGGACTAGTGCTGGGATTAATTATATGTGGTTTGTAGTATGAGGTGTGTTAAGACTGTTACCACCGTGAATGGAGTTGATCCTTCCACCAGTTCGTCCTCCAGCATCGTCGTCGAAAGAAAAGAGATAATGATAATAATAGATATAATTAGTTTAGGTATTCAGACTAACAAACAGAAAAAGAAATAAAAAACGTAACAACAGTCAGCTGATTAAATTTGAAGTTGAAATATGTATCAGTAATAATAACAAGTGCAGTTAGAGTTTTCAGAAGAGTAGGGCAGGAGGGAATGTAAAGAAGTAAAACGACGGGCTTAGTTGTCTACCCCTGAATGATGTATGTGATTTTGAGGAGATAGGCCATTTGGATGCAGTCCTTGTGTCGCTGCATGATTGTCCAGCCCTCACTTAAAGGCGTCCACAGACGGTACATAGCTAAATCTGCCAGTAAATAATTCCAGGGACTGCGAACCAGCAGTGAAAAGAAGTGGGAGCGCACCCGGGTCTTTGCCCTCTGGTGAGCTATCCTTCTAGGATTTCCACGAGGAAGCCTATTCCTACTCAGTGGCAGAACACCTTTGTTTGGGTGATCCTGGTCATTTGTTATTTTGTAGGCGGTAGTCAAATCCCTCCTAAGCCGACGTTAGCTAAGTGTGAATAGACCTCATTTCTTCAGCCTTTCATCATATGGTTTATTTCGGAGACCAACCACTCCTTTTGTTGCCCATCTCTGGACTCTTTCCAAGAGGTTGGCGTCTCTTCTAAGCAGTGGGGGTGCAATAATAAGTCGCGCTCCGACGTTGTGCAGGACAAGCTTTCATTGCACAGGTGCGTAATTTCACTACTTTGCACTTTTTCAGGTTGAAAGTCATGCCACTGGCCACCGCCCAGTCTTCCAGAAGCTTTAGATCTGCCTGCAGTCTATCTGAGTCCTCCGGAAATTTTATCGCCCTCCATATCTTTACATCGTCAGCGCATAGAAGAATCGGGCAGCTTAGACGGCATGGCAGATCAGTGATAAAAGTCAAAAACATCAGTGGTCCTAGGATAGAACCCTGTGACACTCCTGATAACGAGCTGTGCCAAGATGATCGGACTCGATTGACCTTACTGCAAAATTGCCTTTCAGCTGGGTAGTCCTTTAACCATGATAGAGGTGGCTTACCTATGCCTGCCTGACTTATTTTGTGTAGGAGAAGGTCATGATGAACAGTGTCGAATGCCTTCTCAAAGTCTAGGAAGACCACATGGACTGGAACATTCATATCCCAGCATGATGTCCAATCGTCCCAAGCTGATAGTAGGTTTGTTACACAGGATCTGCCTTTCCTGAAACCGTGTTGGGCTTCATGGAGTATATTAGACCTATCGAGATATTCTCTGATGTGATCGTCAATAATACTTTCCAGTACTTTTGATACCACTGGGAGTAGAGCTACTGGCCTATAACTAGTGGGATTTTGCCTATCACCACCCTTGAAAATCGGAGAAAGGATGGCTCTTTTCCACTCCCTTTGCAGTTTCCTCGAATCCATCGAGTGTTGGAACAAGTCGCATAAGGGCCTACAGAGAGCTTTGGATCACTGTTTCAGAACAGATGGCCTGATGTCGTCATAACCTGGGGACTTCCCAGGTGTGTAGCTTCCCTAGTACTATTGCAGGGTTTATTTGGCGAGTAGACACTAGGTCTTCCTCCTGTGAAATAGTGGTGCCACCATTTTGGTCCGTAACGGTAATACCCACATTGCTGTTAAGCTGTTTGGCGAAGGGTAAACTGAATGTTTCAGCCATCTCCAGACTAGTGAGATATTGACCGTTTTGGCCTACTAAGGCACATGAGCCCTGGTTGGTTGGTTTTCTTTCCGACATGAATCGGTACAAGTTCTTGGGGTTTGTTAGGAGTTTTTGGCAGGGTTTTCCTGGAATGACCTCCTGTCCCTCCTGACTCTCGCGTAGCACCGGTTCCTGAGTTCCAGGTATGCGTCGTGGTCGGTCTAACTCTTGTATACGCGCCACGTAAACCAAGCCTTCCGCTTTGCTTGCAGAATACGTTGCGTGCCTCTCTTCAGTCATGATGACTTTCTTTTGGGCTGTGTTGTGACTAAAGGGACGGTATCCGAGATAACTGTATGAATAATCCTTTTTACCACCTCCCATTGTTCATCCACAGATAGCTCACCCCATGCTAAGGGCCAGTCTGCGTCAGACAAGAGCCTCCGCATTTCAGCATAGTCAGCCTTGCTGTAACACAGACATGGTTGCGTAACGTTCCACGGCAAGCGCTCACGGAGAACGAGATCGAAACCAATGACTGCATGGTCACTACATCCTAGAGGAGTCATGATCTGGACCTTTCCGATGAGTAGTTGGTCACTAGTTAGAATGTAGTCTAGTTTTGATGACTTTCCACTAGGGCCCCACCTAGTGTCGTCTCCAACGTTCTCAGTCAGTCCCGTGTTTCGAATAGTTTGCAGTAGATTTCGGCCAAATTTTCCTTTAGCATACCCCGAGCAACGGTTCAGTGATGGGGCATTGAAATCTCCAGCAATGGTGATTTGGTCATAGCCCAAGTCTCGTATCCCTGTGATGGTGCTGAGTAGTAACTGGTTGTGCTCTGTCCACAGGTGGGTGATCGGTAAATGCTACAGTGGCCTACGGTG